TAGTTCAAGTCTCATTCCTAGGAGGGTTTGCCTCATATAAGAGTTTGATGTAGAGGTGGGGTGAGATCCCCCAGAAAGGACCTTAAGAAAAACTAAACACTAAAAGAAAACCTAAAGGGTGGTTCAGTGGCAGCATCTTCACCTGCGCAGGAGAGAGCACCATATTTGATTCCTGGTCTCATGGGCAGCCACCGCCCAACAGTTAGTAGAGGCTTTCATGTTGCTGCTGTGCTGCAGGTTTCAGCAGAGCCTCCAGACTAAGACAGACTAGGAAGAGAGGCCTGGCTGTCTAACTCATTGCCATGAAACAATTCTGACTCATAATGGCCCTATAGTATAGAGTAGTAGAACTGCCCCCAAAGGGTTTGCAAGGCTGTAATCTTTACAGAAGCAGACTGCTACATCTTTCGCCCACAGAGCGGCTGTTGGGTTCGAACTGCTGACCTTTAGGTTTGCAGCCAAGTGCTTAACCACCATGCCACCAGGACTCCTTGCCTGGCCATCTACTATCTAAAAATCAGCCAAGGGAAACCCTGTGGATCGTAACAGTCCGATCCCCAACCTGTAATGGGGATGGCCCAGGATTGGGTCGCATTTTGTTCCATTGTGTATGGGGTCTCATGAGTTGGAGGCCAAGTCCATGGCAGCTAATAACAAAGACCTGAAAAGAGAGAAAACAAATCAATCAACCATAGGAGACCAGGGAGAAGGATGGATGGAAATGGGAATCCAGGGAAGAAGTGGGAAGGGTGCTGTTGCATCAAAGGGATTGCAACTAATGTGAAGAAACAAAATGTGTATTAATTTTTTTAATGGAAAATTAATTTGATCTGTAAACTTTTACCCAACAATAAAACGTTTAAAAGAAAGAAAGAAGAAAAAGATGGGAATGGCTCAGCCATGATCTGTTTCCTCTTCAAAGAACAACTGGAACCTCTAATGTGCCTGGTCACATGACCTGGGGCAGTTATAACTTACAACCACCATTTATAGAGCACTTACCGGAAGGTAGACACCATGCACTTTGCATACCTTTTTGTTGTTGTTGTTTAATCCTCACAAGAAGATATTTGGATACCCATTTGATAACAAAGAAGCAGACTAACTTAGGCAACTTGCCCAAGTTCATGTAGCTAGTAAGTGGTATCAGCAAGGATTTAAAGGCCTATCTGATTCTAAAGCCAGTGTCCTTTGTAGTCCTTGGCCATGCGATGGCCACAATCGTTTTCTCACACCTGGGAAATGACGTGTCTGGTGATAATTCCTCATCCAAGTGTCTGAGACCAGAGGGTGGATTATGATGGTCGGGAGATAGTGCCAGCTTCAACTGAGTGCCAGTATAATTGGGTCCACACGGTCCTTGCTCTGGTCTCAGTTTACCTAGACTGAGCAGGCACCAACTACCTTCTTTCTGCAAGTCTGTGTGTGCCCTGCCCTCTGGTGTTTTTGGCTTGCACTGCAGTAGTGACCTTATGTGTACCTGGCTTTAAACCAAAACCAAAACCAAACTCACTGCTGCAGAGTTGATTTCTACTCACAGCGACCCCCTTTCGGTTTCCAAGGCGGTAATCTTTACGGAAGTAGATTGCCTAGTTGTTCTTCCACGGAGTGGCTGGTGGGTTTGAACTGCTAACCCTCTGCTTAGCAGTCAAATGCCTTAGGCACTATGCCATCAGAGCTCCCTTGTGCCTGGCTTTCCCGCTTGGAATTCTCTTTTCTCCCCTGTTAATAGGGGTGTCCTGACAATGCTGGGCACTGGTACACTTAGATTTCTGGGGCATCAATACCCTCCCCAGTCCAAACCATTATTGTTGTTAGGTGCCGTCAAGTTGGCTCCGAATCACAGTGACCCTATGTACGACAGAACGAAACACTGCCCAGTCATGTGCCATCCTGTAGGCCACATCTTGAGACATAATGCTCTGTAACATAATTTCCATCTCCCTCCGCCAACAAAGGACTCTGGGTGGTGCAAATGGTTTGTACTCGGCTACTAACCAAAAGGTTGTCAGTTGAACTCACCCCGTGGAGCCACGAAAGGGCTGGCAATCTGCTTTTGTAAGGGTGGTTGTTGTTGGGTGCCGTTGAGTTGATTCTGACTCATAGCGACTCTGTGTGAGAGAGTAGAACTGCTCCATAGGGTTTTCTTGGCTGTCAGCTTTACAGGAGCAGATAGCCCATCTTTGCCATGCAAAGCCACTGTTTGGAATTCATTCCACTGTAACACGTGGGGCTACCATGAGTCCAAATCGACTTGACAGCAGTGGGTTTGTATTTTTCCTTCCCCCACACCTTGGGCTTTGGGAAATCTGGGACCAAATTAACCAGTCCCCTTTTCGCCAGCCTCAATACTGGGTTTCCTGGAGGTCATGGCTTGGTTAAATGCAGGGAGGCTCAGCTGCTCTGGCAGTCAGCCCATGCCGAGTTAGGTCAACGCTTGGTGATCTGCCAGGGAGAGAAGTGAAGGAGGCTAACTTTACTGCACCAGGTGGGCCAGGGTGCCAAGTACTGTGCTAGTTATTTTCAAACAATCTTTTTTAATCCTTACAACAAACCATGAATGTATTATGCACTGCATTTGTAAATAAGAAATTGAGGCTCAGAGAGGTTTAGTATCTTTAAAAAGCTCACAGCAGGGATTTGAACCTAGGTTTGTCTAACTCAGTGGTTCTGAACTAGGAGTGAATTTGCCCCCCCAAGGAACATTTGGCAACATCTAGAGACAGTTTTGATTGTCATGACTGGGGAGGAGAGATTGCTACTGGCATCTACTTGGTAGATGTCAGGGATGTTGTTAAAGATTGTGCTATATACAGGATACCCCCCACACACAACAAAAAAGTATTGAGCCCAAAATGTTAACAATGCTTTACTTGAGAAACCCTGAATGCAAAGCTTGTATCCTTTCCCTATGGAAAGGAAAGGATGAGTAGGCAGAGCAAAATGGACAAGGGCCTACCCTAAGGGCCCTGGGTGGGAAGGGGATGGGATTTCTATGGTAGGAGAAGGGAGAATAGGGGCAGCTGGTGAGACTTCTCTTTTTTCCAAGCTTGGCCAGGGCCCTGCTCAGTTTCCCCCAACCTTGCCAACTCAGTCCTGGGACTTCACACTAAGCATGTCCTGGAGTAACCCTGACTCCCAGCTCAGGGCTGGAGCAAAATGTTTACCTGGGTTTTCCTGCCAGACTTCCTAGTCAAACTCCCTGGTTCCTGGGGCCAGCATGTCCCACCTGCAACCCGGAGAATCATGTAAGTTAGGATCCTTGCTGTGTGTGGAAGATACCCAACTGTAAAAAATGGAGCAGCCAAGCGGCTTCTGAGAACAATTAGAAGTGGAGTGATGAACAAAGCCAAGAGCATCCCCTTAGCAGTCTTCTGTCTGTGGAGAAGACTGGAACTTAAGCAGGAAATAAGGGCAGCTGGCCTGGGGGGCAGTGTTCTGGCCTCAGGGCTTGCTTTCTGCAGCCATTCCTCTTCCTTAGGCTCGGTCATCAGCTTCACTGTAAATTACCACCCCCTCCGCAATTCTGGAGCACCGACAGACCCAGCCAGCTATCTTTCTGGGCCTCCCCAATACCAGCCTCCCCACTAGACAAGGGAGGGCCGGACCAAGTTTATAGTGTTGACAGGAAATACCTCTCCTTCCAAGCTCAAAACCTCTTAAGAAGTAATAAGCAGATGGGGCGGGGAAAACTATAAGGTCCCTCATATTTGGGGTTCTATCTCCTTCCCTCCCTCACCACTCATGGTGGGGGTGAGGGGCAGGATAAAAGGATGGAGGAAGGCAAGCAAGCAGAGAAGAGGATGTGGTAACAGCTGATTCGTCCCCTGAGGTCACACTTTCCAACAATCAGCTGTTACTGGGGCAGAAAGCAGGAAGTTTCCTTAAAGGCACAATGTTCTGAACATAAGCGCCGAATTCTGGAGTTCCCAGGAACTATAGCGATCACCTAGCAGAGCTCGTAAAACCCAGAAGAAACTCACTCTCACTCTAGGCGCCATCCCTGTGGCTCAGTCAAGCTCACAGACAATTTCAAGCTCATGTAAAAGTCTTGGATCCATGTCCACACAATCCTCCTCGACAGAGGTGGGGGTAGGGGTAGGGGACCAAGAGTTGCCCCTTTAAGTAAGCAGTTCAGCAGCTTTTGCTAAGTCATTGGGTTCATTTCAGTTTTCGCCCAACCCCCGCCCCTCTAGCCTCTGATTGGCCCAAGGGGAAGGAGCACCCTCCTCATTGGCCTACACCTTTGAAATCGCTTCCTTAAGTAGGCCTGAGTCAGTGAAAAGCTTCTGGAGGGAGGGACCGAGTGGGGAGTTAACTGTAGGGTGGGATTGTCACGGCCCATGTCCGAGTTTTAGGACTGTGCTGTATATCTTAAGAGACTCTCGGCTCTTCTACGTCTGGGACGAGACATCTTTGACAAGAAAAGGTTGTTTTTGGCTAGGAAGGGGTCCCGTGGAGGAGAGGACTAGGACTCTCCAGTGAAAGCTGAAGCTGGACGGGTTGGACAAGCATTCCTTTCCCCAAAGCCCTCAGAAGTCCTCATCCAATGGAGTTGCCTCTGCCGCCTTTGGGAATGATTTCCACCTACAGCTCTGCCCACTCCTGTTTCGCCTGCTCTACCTTTCTCTTAGCTCGCCTCCTAAGGAGGCCAGCGAGTGAATTTTGGGATCGTCTAAAAGCAGCACTCGCGGCCTCAAAAAGGTGGGGCAGTAGCCCTTTAAGGACTTCGCCGGGATGTAGTCCGAGCTCAGTTTGAAAATGCCAACTCACAGAGCGCGCTGGATTCTGGGAAGGAGGTTGTCAGACCGAGAACTACATTAACCAGTATGCATTGCAAACACACACGCCTTTACTTCCTTCTGCTCTTTAGGACTCTAGTTTGACGTAGCGCTCTTCAAAGCAAGTAGCTTAGGCGGAGGCCTGGGCCACACCTTTTCATCTATTTGTCAGCTCGTGGGTTGTGGGCGGAGCTTAGCGTAACTCCACTAGGCGAAGGGATGGTCTCCTTGCCAATCAGGGATAGATGGTTGGAGAGGCGGGACCAAGGCGAAGTATTGGCGCCCCCAAGTGGGTGTGGTCACGCTGCCCAGCAGTGGGCGGTGATTGGCTCGGGGCGGTGCAAGCGCAGCTTGTGCGTCACGACGCCGCCAGCTGATCGGAGACTGGAGCCGGTGTGTGCTGGGCGCTGGGAAGAGACAGCGCCGCCGACCGTGAGAAGCGGACGCGTTGATTTGCTCCCCTAACCTCAGCACCCCCCACACACACCCAGCACCAGGTGGGTGTAAGCTGGGCACCTGGCCGCACAGGAGGGAACGAGGGTAATAGGGTGATGGAGGAAAGTAGGGTCTTAGCGGCCACACCCTGCTCTTCCGGGGGAGGGGAGAGGGGACGGCGGGGGGCAGGGGCGCTCTGGGGAGAGGAACCTGGGCTGGCTGGAGTAGCGTGTCAGGAGGTTGAAGCAAAGAGTCCGGAACGTGAGTCGTGTTGGAAGGTCTTGCGGAGTAGCTGGGAGGAGACCGAGGGGCAGGAGGGCTGGGGGAGCATAGCCCCGGAGCTCTCTAGGCGAAGGAGTCAGGAATCAGCCTCCTGGCCTGGGAAGATCTGGACCAGGAGGGTAGGGAGAAGTGCTTTGTCTCTCTCGGCGCTCACTGGGTCAGGGCCAGTTCAGCGCCCTGGCAGGGAAGGGGTCGCTGGGCGGGCCGGCCCCTCCTCTCGTTCCCTCCAGAGGATGTTATGTAAGGGGGAAGGGGAGAGGAGTAGGGGGCGGCGGTGCGGGGGCCTTATGCAACCCAAAGGTTAGGGTTTCACCGCGGATGGGGGCGGGGAAGCGGGCAGGAGGAGGGCCTGGAAACTCTAACCCCCTCTCCCCAGCCTAACTGTCCGTCTTGGGCCCAGAGAAGGTCACCTCTGCACCTCCCCCCCCAGCCTGTCCGGTTGTGGGGCCCCTAGTCCAGGCCTGGCCCTGACCGCCTGTGAAGCCGGCTGGCTGGGTGGGGCGCCTGGGTTAGTCATCGCTGGGCTCCCACTCTCCCCCCCTCTCAGCCAACTCTTGGCCCCTCCCAGTGGCCTCCGACTAGGCTATCTCCCCCTTCCCTCGGGCCCTCCAGCCTCTAACTCTTTTGGCCTGTCATCCTGGCTGTCAGACTGGGCTAGGGGCTGTCAGGATGCCAGCGGGTTGGTGGAGCAGCTGGTTAGAGGGTCAGTGTCCTGGACCCACCCCGCCCTGCAGCCAAGGGCACCTGCTTGGCACAGACTCTCAACAGCCGTTGAGTCTTGTGGGGTGAACAGAGCTATCTCAGATATGGGAGTCAGGCAAAGTTGGACTGGTCACCTGAGAGGAGGAAGATACCACAAAGTTCATGCCTCCCAAGATGGTTTTGGGATTTGAAAGTCCCCACCCCCACCATAATCTTTCCTTCCTTCTGAGTATAGGGATTCCAAGGCAGGACCACGTTGGCCCCTCACTCTGGCATGGGCCATGCCCTTGGACTGAGTGTCAGCATAGACCCGCCTTCCCTAGCTCACAACCCTCAAGCCTGCCACGCCCCCAGCCCCCTCCCTGGGCCATGCTGCAGGGCCTGGTTTTTCCTGCTGATTCATGCGTTGGAACTGTGGGGGCGGGGCTTGGAACTTGGAACAAAGTTCAGACATGGAGGGGCCGGCAGACAGCCTGGAATTCATACCAGATGTACCCGGAATGCACAAGCGGAATGCCTGGCATCTGAGAGTCCTGGGGAAGCTGCCCAACCACCCTGCCCATACCTCCCTCTCCTCCAGCCCTTGGTCCACTGTCCTCTCCCTCACAGTCCCGGAGAGGCTCTGCTGACCTTCCAAACTCTAGACCTCCTCCTTTCCTCACTCTTCCCCAGATCTAGGCCCCCAAAACTCTCCTTCCAGCTGAAATCCCTAGGAACAAGTCAGTGGGGCTGATCACTAAACTGCATTTCTGGGCCTGAGGTGTAACTTCTCACCTAGTGCCTGGCTGGCTGGTGATGTCCAAGGGCTCAGACCCTGACCTCTCTGGCTAAGAACACTGAGGAGGCAGGGCCCTTTTGAGGCAGTGGAGAGAGCAGGCCTGGGATTCTGTAACCTCCAGTTCTGGGAGGAGGAACAAGGAAAGTATGCTTAAAACTGCCTCTTGTTTCTCATTGAAGTTTAAAAGCTTCTGCAGCCCAGGTCAGAGCCAAGAGCCCTTCATTAGAAAGTTAAAAAAGGTCTACTGGGGTAGACTTTGATGGCCATTGAGACAGTGTCCCTGTGACATGGCCCTGCTCAGGTCTTTCCCATTTGTCTTCCCCTTCTGTCTAGGAGCCTGTACCTCCCACATCCTCACCTGGCTGAGCCGCAGTAGTTCTTCAGTGGCAAGCTTTATGTCCTGACCCAGCTAAAGCTGCCAGTTGAAGAACTGTTGCCCTCTGCCCCTGGCTTCAAGGAGGAGGAGGAGAAGGAAGAGCCGCTTTCCCATCATCTGGAAGGTGACAATTGGGGCTGAGAAGGTCTGAGAGCAGTGGGCGTGATGATACCTTTTGAGGAAGGGAACCCTACTCAGCTGGGAAGCCTTTACCCACATTGGCCCCATAAGAGAGCACTTGGAGATAGAGACCTGGCGGAATTAGAGAGGAGATGGCTCTAACTACCCAAAGTTAGTCAGTCTTTGTGTGACAGTAGGAGGAAGTGGAGAGAAGAAATCTGCCACTTTACCTGGATTTCCTTCTTGACCGCCTTTTGTTCCCCATTCTTCCCTACTGGCCTTTCCAGGTGAGTTCCAAAAATAAGTGTATGCATCAGAAACAAGGTGATTCTGGAACTGTCATCCTTCCTTTCCCTGGATTCCTTAGACTGGCCCAGATTAAATTCAGAGGGGCTCATCTACATCTGCGCCCTTGGACCTCCAGCCTAAGCTTCTGTGCTTAGGAGATGGGGAATTATACAGATGAATATAAATGAGATAATCAGAAGCCCAGTTGTGCAGACTCAGAGCCTGGGCTCTTCTTCCCCTGTGGGTGGAAATAAAACAGCTTTTCACATAAGCTATTGTCCTTCCCTCCCCCTGCCGCTGACCATAACCCCAGGAGCTCTCAGGGGCAATGGGGGTCAAGAGTAGAACAATGAAGGGGACTAATAGGTCCATCACTAGGCTGGCTTCCTATAATGCAGAGGTGGTCCCAGGATCCCCCTGCCACCTAGAGCACGACCATCACCCCCAAAAGGGTTCTAATTGCTGCTGCTCTGTTTCTTCCCTCACTTTACTTTTCCAGGATTGTGTGCGGGACTCAGCTTAGGGCCTATGTAGGCAGGCAATTCTCCCCTCCAACAACTAGGGGAGGCGGACTGTGGAACTGATCACTCTTTGGGCATCAGGCACTGTAACCCTGCTGCCCCCAGTTCTTGATCCAGTCCTACTCTTGGACTCAAGCTCTGCTGTAATTTAGCCTTGGCCCAGTTTCCCTGCCTGAATGTGACCAAGTTCAGGGGCTGCAGGAAGCTTGTTCTGTTTGAGGGAAGGAGATATGCGGGGATCTGGGTCCTAGTCTCTAGAAACTTAAGAAACTGAAAGATTTAGGGAAGAGTAGACCATTGAACTCAGGCCAGCTGTTCTGCAAACTAAGCTAAAGGGGAAGGACTTGTGTGTGGGACTGTGGGAGAGTGGGTGGGTAGACTGAGGCTACAACAAAGATTGCTCTGTCCCTAGACATTGCTTCCATCTTTTCTTCTCCTTTCACTGGCCGCAGTGTCTCTCCAGCCCTGCACATGTGGTCCTGTCATCCTGACCCATCATGGAGCAGGGGTATGGAAGGGCAGACTGGGAACCTAGAGGCAAGCAGAAGGCCAGTGAAGCACCAGGCCTGGGGAGCACAGGGTCCTGCCCAGGCAACCTACAGATGGGGCCCTTTAAGGCCATAAACACCCCAGGAGAAGGGAAGGCAACTAGCTTCCATCAACGATGCGCTTCCAGCCATCTCTTACTTCACTTGCCACTTCTCTTCAGTCTTTCTGCCTCCTTGAGATGTGGAACCATATTAAATAAAGTGTCTTGTGGCTTCACCCTCCTGCTTCTATCTCCCCCCTGTAATTTTTAAATGAGCAGCTCAGGGAGCAAAAGCCAGCGATAAAAGGACATGTACAGGAAATTCTTAATAGAAATTCAAATGAATGAAACCATGGGGGAAAGTGTATGTGCTTCCTTAGGGATTAAAGAAAAGCAAATAGACCTGAAAGCATTTTCCCTTCACAAACTGTAATAGGAAAGAATAAAAGATGACCCAGCATTGGCAAACCAAACACCAAACTCACTGCCACTAAGTCAGTTTCGACTCATAGTGACCACCATCAGGCTTCCGAGGTTGTGTAGATCTTTATCGAACCAGCCTCATCTTCCATGGAGTGGCTGGTGGATTCGAATCACCAGTCTTTTGATTAGCAGCCAAAAGCCTTAACTACTACCCCATCAGAGCTCCTTAACATTGGCAATGGAGTTCTGAAATGACACTCCCATACATTTCAAACTGGAGTATAAATTAGGACAGTCTGCTTGGATAACAATTTGGTAATATGGATCAAACACCCTGCAAGTTCTCATGGTCTTTGGCCTAGTAATTCAGCATTTGGGAATTTATTCCTAAGGAAATAATTAAGGATTTAGGTATAACGTGTTCATCTCAGCATTGCAATAGAGAAAAATGGGAAGCAACTGTTTGATTGGGAATTCATTTCTTTTCTGCTGTAATGAAAATTTGCAATAGGGGATTGCTTAAGTAAATTATTGTGTATGTATCCAGATGGTGGAGTACTGTGCAGTCATTAAAAGTCATGTTGAAGAACATTTGACTAGGAAGAAAAATGCTCTCTGAATATTAAGATGGTTATAAAAATAGTGTGTATTATGGGATCTCAATTTTGTTTTTTAAAATACTTGTATAAATAAAACAAATTTTTAAAAGACTGAGGACAGGTTCCAAATGTTCACAGTGTAATAAAGTAATTTTCCTCTGTTTTTCTGTAATTTGCAAATTTTCTACATTAACCCATGTATTACTTCTGTGAAATAAAGAACATTTTTTGAAAAATCAGTGTTAATCTTTTAAAACCTTTGGAAAGGTGGGTTTAGAAGAGTGGAGGAATGTCCCTGACCTTGGCCTTAATGGGTTTTGATGAAGGAAGGAGATTATGAGAATGTTTTTTTGGGAGTGACGATTGGTTTATGAACTTGATTCTTTAGGAGTAGCTGGAATCCACCCTCTCACAGGAAATAGCTCTTGGAATTGCTGCCTGTCAGCCAGCTAAAGAAGTGTAGACTAGGAAAGGAAAACAGTGAAATGTACCACCCTTCAGGGGCTGGGGAGTTGGGAGAGGATCCTAATAGTCCTGGGTGGGTCTTTGTTTTTCCTTTTGGATTCTGCCCCCATCTGGTGACCCTGTGTGACCTCCCTTTGCCCCATTAAATTCGAAGAGAATCTCTTACCTACCTAACAGATACCAAACCCTGGCAAATGGGGCACTTTTCAGGACTCCGGTAATGAGTCTCTTTTGCCTCACCTTCCTGATAAGGCTCCTCTGCTAGGACAAAAAAAAAAAAAAAACAAAGCCTGGGGGAGTTCCCCTGTGGGTCGCTGCTCTAAAATGGGGATTGTTCCATTTGAGGGGTGATATGGAAGAGAGCAGGGCTCCAGGAACTGTGGACTGTTTTCGAAGTCTAGAAACCTCTGGAGGCAAGTGACCCCATAAAGTTGAGGAGGTACTTCTCCTGCAAATGACACGGGGCAGGGAGATTTAAGCAAGTGCAAGTGAGTTGCAATCACCTCTGCCCTCAAGGTTCTGAGGTTAGGATGGGAGGGGTGACTAGCAAGTGAGAGGTTACGGAGTAAGCAAAAGAAGGCGAAAGTTGATGGGGTGGGGCCCCCCGCGGCGTCAGGTGAGCTTAGTGATCCATTTCTAGAACTCGGGTTCGGGACACTTGGGGTTGGAGGAAGACTCCTATCGACAAGCCAGAAGTCCCCTGCGCCCGAAGTTGGCAAGGCTTGGTCCTCAGGAGCCCCCAAACCGCAATCCCACCGCAGGGCAGGACGCGATCGGTTGCCTTGGCTCCAGGGGCGGTGGCCCCACAGCTTCTCCAATCACCGCCCAGCAGAGGAATGGGGGCGTGGCCTATCGCGGGAAAAGTTACAACCGATTCCGAAGGCGGGGCTTGGGGGGGATCTCAGGGACTCACCCCTGCAGGGAAGCTGGTTCACAGTCCCTGCGGGGGGCGTTGTATTCGCCCAGACAGAGGGCGCAGGGGCGGACAGAACCCGTCTGAACCTAGCCGGGCCGCCACGCCCAGGCGTTCTCGGGGCTCCTGGTGTCAGGAGCGTCCTTCGCCGCGTTCCGGGGGGCTGCAGCTGCTGCCCATTCCAAGACCTGCTGCACAGAACCGTTGGAAGTGGTGGAACATCTGTGTCTCTCTGACGCACAGCCTGCTCACGGGAGCCGAGGCGCTGCTCGGGTGCAGGATTGGAAGTTCGAGAGACACCAGGGTGGGTGGGGGGTAAGGGATGGAAGGGTGAAGTTAGAAGTCCGCGCGGACATTTGTAGAATTGATGGGAGACTTTGAGAGTTAGACGCGGGCTGAGGTGTGGATGGGTGGGAGGGCGTGTACGACGGAGAAGAGAGTCAAGGTCTGCGCAATGCTGACCATCCCTCCACCCCATCTCCCCCAGGCTGTCGCTGTACCCTCAGATGGTCACTGACCAGATTCATGGCCACCCGCCCTGGGCCCTGGCGCTGGTGGCTGTTTCTGTCAGTGAGTCTTGAGGGGAAGGCTGGGCTGTGGGGGAAGGGGGGGTTCGGGAGCCGAGTGCCACCTTCCAGTGGTCAAGCCCCCTTTCTCCTCTCCAAGGAGATCTGGTGGTGTAAAACATTCCCCTGCTAACCAGAAGGTTGGTGATTTGAACCCACTAGCTGCTCCGCAGGAGAGAAATGAGGCATTCTGCTACCATAGAGATTTACAGCCTTGGAAACCCTATGGGGCAGTTCTACTCTGTCCTGAAGGGGTCGCTGTGAGTTGGCATTGACTCTATGGCAGTGGGTTTTCCTCCTCTTTTGCTAAGGTTAAATGTGGTGGGGTTTTTTTGTTTTTGTTTTTGTTTTTTGTTTGGCAGCTTTACTGAGAAAAACAGAACTGGAAGAGGGGGGATGGGGATTCCTCTCTAGGCCTGACACTCCCCCCATCCTTTCATACACACAGGTTATTTCCTGGCTGATGGAGCTGATATGCTGCAGAACAAGACCTTGGGCCAGACCTGGGACCTCCTCTGTCACCATTTGGTGGTAAGATTCTGAAGGAATAGGCAAGAGAGGGAGGAAGGGAGGGAGGCAAGTCCTGCCTGAGGTCTCCAATCTCTCTTCAGCTTTCTGTCCTCTGGATTCCCAGAGAGCCTTTGACCGCAGCTGGGCTTGATCCTCACCATCTTGGGCTGAATTGGATGAGGGAGAGTTTGCCTGCCAGCCACAGCTGGGAGTCAGAGCACTGCCTAATGACCCTGTATCCAGCACAGGTGCTGAGACAATTGCAGAGCATTCAATACAGAATTTTTTTCTGAAAAAAGAGAGTCCTAGTATATGAAGTGGGGAGCTCTGGTGGCCTAGTGCCTAAGACATTTGACTGCTAACCAGAGGGCTGGCGGTTCAAACCCACCAGCCATTCCTTGGAAGGAAGGTTGGGCAATCTACTTCCGTAGAGATACCACCACCTTAGAAACCCAAGGAGGGGTTGCTGTGAGTTGGCAATCAACTCGAAGGCAGCGAGGGTTTTTTTTTTTTTTTTTTCAGTATAGGAAGTGAGGATGGGGCATGAAAGCCAGGAATGGCAGTTAGGAGGTGCTGAGCAGATAGATGCTACAGCCTAAGGGTAAGGCACCTCCTGGGCCAAAACTGCTTCCAATAATGGTTGTCCCCTGAGGTAGGAGTAAACACAAAGGTCATGTTTTGGGGAAGAGTCCACCAAAATGCCTGGAAGCCTCTTTCTTAAGCCCTGAAATATTGAGACACAAAGGGTGGCAGGACCTGGACGGTGTCTGACTTCTGGACCCTGGCTCCCAGGTAGTAAACTGCTTCAGCACTGCTGTTCTGTCTGGCCACTACCATGCTTGTCCATGGTGTCACTGCTCCTGGAGCTGAACTCTGTTTGCCTGCACCTGCGGAAGTTGCCGCTGCTTTCTCACCAGGCTGCAACCTTGGCCTTCAGAATGGCCAGCTGGGCCACCCTAGTCACCCTAGCTCTCTTCCACCTGGTCCCATTAGGGTGAATGAGTCTGTGGCTGTTCTGGCAGCACCAGCATGTGTCTCCTGCTCTTGTTCTTGGTGGATCTGGGCTAGTCACTGTGGGTGCTATGAGCATCCTACTCAGTGTCTGCATTCTGATCAGTGATGTCCTGAGCTCTCAGCCCTGTCCACCCACCCCTGGGCACAGGAAACCATGGGAGACTAGAACACGTGATGGTGAGCTTACCAGGCCTGACCATAGGAACAATTCCACTCTCAGCCTGGAAGACGAGCGAGAAGCCACAGGCTCCTTTTCCGCCAGTCCTGGCAGAGGTGGGGACAGGACAAGGAGATGGTGGTCTTTAATGCACATTCCCCCACTGAGGTAAGAACTGGACTGAATATTCGGTATCTCAGGTCTTCTTCCAGCTAACTCATACCCTTCACCATTCTTAGAATCTGAGAAGAAAAGCTAATGTTCTTGGGGGGGCAGGAACCTGGGATATTGTTCACTGGATCCTGTCAACAAATGATCGCTCTTTCCAGCAGCCTAACTCAAGAGGTACAGCTAGTGCTACCACTAAGGGCCAGTAGGAAGCATGAAGCTGGAAGAAACTGCCAGAGGGAACAGAAACCCTTTGCACAGGGTTAGTACAGGGATAGATGGAGGAAGGTGAGGTTCTACTAAGATCAGAGAGATCCAGTATGGAGGAGGAGGAAGAGGGACAAGAGATCTCATCTATGACCAAATTCCGGCAGTGGGAGGAAGGCACAAGTGCCGTCTGTAGCCAGTAAGAATGGAAGTAATAGTTGCCAAGAGACAGAAGAACTTGGGCCACAGCAATTCCTGCTGATATTTCTCGTTCTCAAAACCATGCTACTGTGTTTGAACTCAACCTTAGTCCTATTGTATCCAGCCCCTGGCTTTTTCTTTTTCTTTGAGCTTTATCTGACTGTTTCAAAGAAAATGCAGGTTCGTAGAGGCATGAACACGAGGCTAGGTCTGTCTTCTTAGCACAGTATTAAAGTCTAAACCCACAGAAAGAACGCACCCATCCTGGGTGCCTAGTGCAGGATCTTCCTAGGCCCAGGCTTTCATGGAAGAACAAAGGCAGAGGCAGAAGCCAGTGAATGAAGACTCCCTCTTGGCTTCAGAGAGAGTAAGGAATAGCTGATCCTCCTCTGGATTTACCTACAAGGCTTCCTTTCTCCACTGTGATTTCTACTGTATTCTCTCAAGGGCGAGACCCCACCTTCTTCAAGCAGAACATTAAGATAATGGGACACATAAAGCAGATTAAAGTTACTATTCTACTAAACAAAAGACAGAAAGAGATAACCCTCAACCCTCCCCAGAAAAGATACATGAGCAAAATAAGAGCCAGGAAGATTATAACATACACACACAACCTGCTAAGGAGCTGAGGTAGAAAAACACAAAGGGAATGACAGACACAGACACACACACACATACATAGGTACAGACAGAAGATTAATTGCATAGAGGAGATAGGGCAAAAAGAATCCTGGGCAGAAGTATCAAGAAAGACTGTCATACATGCTGAGAGGAACCAAAATCAGGATAGGTAAAATGGTCATAAAAAGAGAAGAAAAATAGAAATAAAGACTGACAGGAAGAGGCCCCCATGGGTGGAAGGCACAGATAGTCTAGACAGTGCAATAATGAGAGTGAGTGACAAGGAGGAACAGTCAGGCTCAAGACAGATAGAGGTAATAGTGGCAGGTATAGAGATTAGCAGAGCGAGAGAAGAGAGGTAGAAACAGAGACGAGGTGAGATTAGTCAGGGAAGCTAATAAGCAGAATGGTGGAAGGCGGAAGCAGTGGTGAGTGGAAAGGTTCGTTGACAGGGAGAAGCAGGCAATGTGTGGAGTTGGAGACATGCAGAAAGACAAAAGACAAATGGCTGCAGTGCAAAACACAAAACAGAGGCTCCCAGTAACTGATAGACAGAGACTGGTAGTAAGTCAAGGAAAAGTCAGAATCAGAGATGTACTTGGAGACAGAAACAGAGGCAAAGGGACTAAGAAGGAGTGTCACGGAGAGGAAAAATAGGAGGGAAAGGGCAGAACACTTAAATAGACCCCAAATGAAGGAACAAAGAAGAGAACACAGAGAAGAGAGAGAAAAAGAAGTAATGGCAAAATGAAAAGAAAAAAAAAATGAGTGGGGGATTATGGGGGATCCCATTAGAGAGTCATAAAAACTGAGGTACAAAGGAGAAAAATAATAGAGACTAAAGAGAACCTGTGACAGCTGGAAGTAGATAAACAGGCAGAAAATAAGAACAGGAGGTTTTAATATAGTAAGACTAAAACTACAGAGCCAAAAGTATGAAAGTGGAGTTTCGGTAGCAAAACAGGGTTTTGTTAGTCTGTCCTTGATAGAGACAGTATCTTCTAACCTCATTTTGCCATCCTAACTGAATACCTTGATTAACAAAAATGTTGTCTGCTTGAGTTTTCAAAGAAAAATGTAACAAATCCATGTGACAAATCCGTTCTGTAAGAATGTGTTGAGATCAATATTTATCCCTTTTCTTTTGTGTCTGTAATAAATGGTCTAGGTGAGTACCTCTCTTGGTAGTACTTGATGGCATCAATGAGGATTGCCCAAGAACCTGACCATTAGGGAGATAATGGCTGCTTTTGCGTGTTAAATAAAACTCATACAGAAAGGGTGAGATTAGCCACCAGTGGGTGTAAATGTATAACTGAAGAGTTTGGGGTCGTACCCAAATTTCCGTCAACATAATGCACTAAAATTTCAGGAAGATAGGACTGGATTTTGGTTATAATTGAGGAAGTGGCGATCTCATTAGCTGGAGTGTGGATCAAATAAAGATAATGTGAAATCAAAGAGAGATGGTCTTTGGGACCCTAGGAAAGGGACGCTCAAAAATACAGTGATCGTCAGATACTAGATTTGATACAACGAGTCCAGTCGTCAGGGCAGTACTTTCAGACCTCACCAAGGCTTTGTGAAGTGGTCCCTGAGACTCTCTCTATGGCTACTGAGCTGCTTGCTGATGAATTACTTGTTTTCTGACATAGGGACAGGGCTTTCCCGGATGGGTTGACCTTAATATTTTATGGTCTCAGAACACTAACTTGGTTATAAATTAATAAACTGCTATTTAAATAACTCTATCAGTCTTTCGAGAGTGTGGTTACTGAGTCACTTTGCGTGGCTCCAATGGTGCCTTGATTTACAAGGCACTGGGTCAGATACCAATGGAGTCCCTGGGTGGTGCAAACACTTAAGGCACTCAGCTGCTAACTGAAAGGTTGGTGGTTCAAGGGCATCCATTGAAGCCTTGGAAGAAAGGCTTGGTGATCTACTTTGGAAAATCATACCCACTGAAAACCCAATGGACAGTTCTACTCTGAAACACAAAGGGTCCTCATGAATCAGAACTGACACAATGGCAACAAGTTTTTTGTTTGTTTGTTTGTTTGTTTACCAGTTAATGTCAGGGCCTGGATGCAAAACTGTATTTTTTTCTATGAATACTACATATAGGAAATTTCTTTTGAAAACCACCCCTCTCATGCAAATCAAAACAACAATGAGATACCATCTTTCTCCAGCACTAGTATCAAAGTTCAACAAGATAGAAAATAACAAATGCTGGCGAGGTTGTGGAGAGATTGGGACTCTCATACACTGCTGGTGGGACTGTAAAATGGT